ATAGACTTGTTTTTGACGAATGTGGTAGTCTTGTTTTGTATTGTTATTGTTGTTGTTTTTTGTTGAGGTCGTTTTGGTGTTGTTTTGTATTGGTGTTGTTTTTGTTGATTGGTAACGTTGCTCTTTTTTTTTCTTCTTAGATGGCTTCATCTAGTGATTCGAAAGAATATCCCCCAAGATTGCATCAGCCTGGAAAATCTCCCTTACAGGAGCACAGCTTTAACTATGGCTGTCACCTGACTGATTTTGGCAAGTTGAGGGAGAACATTGGCGATGATATATGTAATGAACAGATGTGCAATTAGATCAATTTTGAAGCTTGCAACTAGGGGATATGTTTGGAGTTCACACATGGTTCATCAGTTCATAGCCAACCAATTGGCCGTGGACAGGCAGTACGAGGTTTGGTCTTTGATTGGTGGTAGACCGTTGAGGTTTTCGTTGCACGAGTTCGCAGAAATTACGCGGTTCAACTGTGATCCAATTGTCGAAGATGGCTGGGACATTGATCACACTGAGTTTTGGGCTGAGATGGGTGTCAAAACCTTCGACGGTCCTAATTGGAATGAGTTGGATCGTGTCATAGATCGCTGTCAGACATGGAGCGAAGCGAAGAAGAAAATGGTTGCAAAGCTCCTTCTCCTGCATGTCGGAATATTTGGTCTCAACCGGAATAGTCGAGTGCCGTTGAAGTGCGCAAAACGAGTGTTGGATGAAGATACTTTTGAGAGTTATCCGTGGGGGCGTCATGCTTTTAAGCATTTAGTAGAATCTATTAAAGTTGCGTGTTTAGATGGAGACACTTACTTTATTCATGGATTTGTGCATGCGTATCTCATATGGGCGTTTGAATCAGTACCTATTTTCGGTGAAAAGATTGGGAGAAGATGGCCCAGTCACAATCCCAACGAGATTCCGTTACTGAGGTGGCGTTCATCAAGAAAGCGATTCCGTCTGGAGACGGTGATCAATGAGGAGAAACAGAATACGCCTGACAATAAGGTATGTAAGTTTAAGCATATTGTATGGTAGAGTTATTGTAAAGGTGTTGACATATATGGTAGACATTTATATGGAGAATGGTAGACTTAATTCAAAAACTTTGTTAGACTTTATAACTCCAGAACTGTAAGCATCCTTTCCTTTTGATTTCAATATAATCTCCATATGGTAGACTTGTTTATAAGCTTGTCATTTTTGCAGGGATAATGCTGTTGGTGACACTGACCCAATAATAGAGTTCTTCCTTCATTTGATGACTGCTAAAGCCGACTGGCCTATTTTGGAATATGGCTGGTTGGGCGATCGGGTAACTTTTTCACTTTGGTAGATTTATTTGTTTCCAAATTGGTAAACGTTTCAGTGATAGACTTAATGAATGGTAGATTTACGATAATGAATGGTAGATTTATTTTTGCAGCATATGACAGCGGGGATGCATATGTTCCGACAAAGATATTTGAGAGACCCGTGTCCCTACCAAAGAGATGGTAGGGTGGCTTTCTTAGACCCGCTCTTCACCGGCCAGTGGCTTGTAGAATTTCAGCGAGACTTCTTACCCAATCTGGATAACTGGGCATTCCGGAGTGGTTACATTGACGTCGCCTACGGTAGATCTCCTGACTTTGCAGTCACTAATAAGATATGGTTCAGGGATGTGGATCTGTTGTACATATGTCACAATATCGGAAGTAAGCATTGGATTGCCGTTGAGGTTCACCTTCCGAGGAAAAGGGTACACATATATGACTGCATTTCAACAGCATATCCGGATCGAAAACTGAAACAGGAGGTGAGGGCATACGCGAGGATGATCCCACTATTGCTTTGTCAATTGTTTCCCGGGGAATGGACACACGACCAAACCTTTCACACCTTCATTATGAAGAACGTTCCTCAAAACGTACAAACTGGCGATTGTGGGGTCTTTACCTTGAAGATTACCTTGAAAAAACGGTTACAAACATGTCATACCCGTTTGCATTGAATGGTAGACTTATTATAATTGAATAGTAGACTTATTATTTTAGTATAGTAGATTTATTATTTTTATATGGTAGACTTATGTACTATGTATGGTAGACTTATGTACTATGTATGGTAGACTTATTTACTATTAAAGTTTCTCAACATGATCATTACACAAATATAGGCTTAGTCAGAAGCTAAGTAAAAGACTTTCAACTACAACAAATATGTTTATTACATATGGGGTTTATTAAAGTAAAAGAGTGCGAAGTACATTAATTACACTGACCACACACGATCAAGATGGGCATGTCGCACGATTATGACCGGCTTGGCCACATTTGGAACACTTGTGCTCTTTCCTTGGACGTTTCTTCTGCATTGCTATTTCTAAAGCAATTTTCATTCGTGATTTTTTTGGCCTACCAGGTGGTTTACGAACAAAAGGAGGCTTACAGACTTTGTTAGCCACTTCTTCGGGTACAGGTAAAGCGACATCTCTTGGCATGACCGTCCCCGCGTATGCCGACGAAAGGTATGACCTACGGTAGTAAGGGTGGGCTAGACTGATACGGGAAATTTTTTTTGCTTCCGCTGCAGCAAGGGCATGGACGCACGGTATTTTATCGATGTCAAACCGTCGGCAAGTACATGTTTTCCTTTCCAAATTGACAACATGTAAGGATGAGCCACCGGTGACCTGTGCAAGATGGTCGTCGATTTCTTGCACTGCTAGTTGCTTTGCTCCATCGACCCTTTCCTGTACACAAAATATGTAATTAAGTCTATCGTATTAACAAATAAATCTATCAAACTGTAGAATATGTCTACCAAAACTATACCCATAGCAATTTCTCAACACCAGTAGTAAGCTCGGTCTCCATATCATTTGCAGCTCGGCGCCTTTTGGCAAACCACCTAGTCAAAAGCGATCTAATCTCCTCCAATAGTGTCACAATTGGGTAACTTCTAACCTTTGAAAGGACCTTATTTAAAGACTCCGCTATGTTGCTAGTAGTGAAGTTGTACCTCTGTCCCGGAAAATGAACACGGCTCCACATCTGGACATCCGCTTTTTGTAAGTAGTCATATAGTCCTCGGTTACACCCCTGAATCTGTGCCATTAAGACATTGAAATCTGAAAGCCTATATGTTGTTGCTGCTTTCTTGACAAGGCGAAAAGCTTCTCCACCTTTATATTTGACCAATATATTCTTGTGCAAATGATAAGTGCAAATACCACGCGAAGCAAGAGGGTAAATTTTTGTTATAGCTTTCCCAATAGATCTATGTCTATCTGAAATAATGGCAAGTCCTTCATCATCAGGTATAACTCGATGTAGTTGTGCAAAGAACCATTCCCACGATTCATCATTCTCAGTATCAACGATACCGAAAGCAATTGGGAATATATTAAAATTCCCGTCTTGCGTTGTGGCAATGAGTAGTGTACCTTTGTATTTACCTGTTAAGAAGGTACCATCAACCACCACTACTTCCCGCATAAATGGAAACCCCTGAATGCTCGCACTAAAGGCAAGGAACATAAACTTGAACTTGTCTTCCGAATCCACTTCGAGCTTGATGAGTGTTCCTGGATTAGCTCGTCTAATCATGTATAAGTAGGATGGAATGTCCTCGTAACTGTCCTCTGAACTCCCAGTCACTAGTTCACGTGCATACTTCAATACACGATAAGCTTTCCAATACTCCACCTATACATCATACACGATTAGTCTATCTACCAAACCACTGGCTACAAATCTACCTAACTATTAATAACAAATCTACCAAGAAACAAATCTACCAAACTATTGGAAACAAATCTACCTAACTATTGAAAACAAATCTACCTAACTATTGGAAACAAATCTACCATATGTTAAATAAATTTACCTAACAACACATCAAATCTACCAAACTAAGCTTACAATATATAACCCTTACCTTGATTCCATATCGTTTGGTTAGCGCATCAGAAACGTGATTTGGGGTAACTGTATTACCTGTTCCACCTACAAAATCCTTATAAAGACGTCCTAATATCTCAGGAGTTGCTTGTCGGGCACGTGAAGAACGCATCGTGATAGAACAGGTGTGCAAACCGTAGTATGTTTTGACATAGAACTGTCTTCCATCTCCAACCGTCAAAGCTCGAACCCTCCATTTACATCCACCGACCCAACACCTAACCGTCAATAGCGTGGGCGTTGAGTGTCCCACGTCGAAGTCCATTTTATTGGCAACCGCGTAGATCTTCAATCTCGTCTCGAACTCTTCTTTTGTGTCATAACATTGACCTACAGCTAACTCTACGGACTTCATTTCAAGCTCCACAGAATCATCTATTCTGGAGAAACCTCGTTTCTTTGGTGGCAGGTTTTGCATATCTTCTTCTTCTTCTTCATCTTCTGATTTCTTCCCACACAAATCGTAGTCTTCATCACTAGAACTCGCACCATCCGGATCTTCGCAATTGTCGTACCTTTCTTCTTCATCATCGTCATTATCTTCCTCATCTTCTTCAAATTCATCGTCTTCATTCTCTTCATCTACGAATGAGTTACATCTTTTGCCGCTCACCTCAACACCATTTGCTATCTTCGATTGAGTCAACGCCTTTTCAGTAATCTCAATGCATAGACGGATTGTCTCGTTTCGAAGTGACGGAGAAACCCAGCAAATTGTCGAGTATTTCCTACAAATACCGGTGGTGTATCTTTGGGTAGCTTTTGCATGTATTTCTTCGACAGCATATAGCTGAATTGCAGCTCAGATCGGCGCTGATCCAATCGAAATTCTTCATAAACAATTTGTAATAAATCCCCAAACCCGATTTCCTGATCAACAGCTACAACTCGACTTCCTTTGCTCTTATCAACCAAGAAAACATACCGACTATTCTGAAATTCCCATTTCCCACAAACTAAAAATATATCCACCATGCAAGAAGAAGACATGATAGAGGATGACAAATACAGGAAAGAAACCAAAAAACAGGTAACGAGAGACAATCAGCGACGAACCTAATGGCGGCGGCTACCCTAGAAGTAGTTGGTTGCGGTGGTTGGAACCCGAAAATTCATTAATAACTGCTGGATATAAACGTCATTTCAAATCAATAAGTCTACCTTTATGAGATTAAATATGTCTACCAATTTTGTAATATGTCTATCAACATTTCATTATGTCTACCAACATCGAACCTCGATACTGATTTAAAAGTCTACTATATTATCAAATAAATCTATTTGTCTACCATCCCCAAATATATCTATTACATAGTTTCGTATGTCTATCACATATCAATACTCGCTAAGGAAATTTTAAGTCTATCATTAAGACAACAAGTCTACCACCTAGAAAATAAGTCTACCACAAAGAAAATAAGTCTAATTTTTCAATACAAATCTACCGTCGATATTTACATCTACCATGCGTACAACAAATCTATCACGAAAAAACTTTTTCTTTTGTAGTAGATTTATTTTTATTAGAAATAAGTCTATTTTCTTGTCTACTAAGTCTACTATGAAAGTTAATAAGTCTACCGATTTTGGTCAACCACATCTTATGAAGTCAACTCAACAACAATATATCTACCAACTTGAAAATAAATCTACTATACAACAAAACAAGTCTACCAACACATTCAAATATCTATCAAGAATTTTAAATCTACCTTTCTAGAAAACTAAATCTATCAGTATAAGTCTATCAACATCTAAACAAATCTATTTTTCGGAATATTAAGTCTACCAACTTTTATTAAGTCTATCGACTTTTTTTTAAATCTACCAAAACATATAAGTCTACCATTCATATTGATAGATTTATTTGTCGGTGGTCCAATTTAACGGCTGACGTGGAAATAATTTAATAATGGCATTTTTGTAAATACGTTTTTTCTCACCAAAGCTTCCTAAGGGTAAAATCGGGTTTTTTTAAAAAGGAAGGTTATTCTGTTAATTTCGAGAATGTAAAGTTATTATACTAATTTCAGCTATTTTAAAGGTCACAATAGCAATTCCTCCTTACTTTTATGCAATTTTATTTGAAAACCCTTCGTCAAAAAAAAAAAATAACATAAAATAAAATACTACCATTCAACAACATTGTGCTAACATGTTAAATAGTTTGATCAATTTTGTAGTTGCTACACCATCAAGATTTGAAATTCTAATGTATAGCATGACAAGACGACTTTAAGACAATGGTTAAACCTCTCTTAACCCCATGAAAATCAATCGACAACAAAGAAGAGAGGACTTGGTGTCTTTGCAAGTTTTACAGATCCTATAACACTATGCCTGCCTGATCCTTGACATAAAAAGTATCTTAAAGGCATACACTCTCAGTTATAAAACTGGTTCAAGCTGAAGAAGCTCTCATTAAACTGGCCTACCCCGTTTCTATGCAAAGCGTTTGAAGGCTCAACCGCTGGTGGATTCGGCTGCCAATATCCAGACACTGAATTGAGTTGACTAGCAGACCGGTGAGCCACGGGTTGGACGTTGCTTGTGGGATGGTGGTCAAGGGTAAACCGTCTTGGTTGGTCAGAGGAAACCCATGATGTTGAATTTGACAGAAGAGAGAGAGCACCATCAAGATCTTGAGAAGTACCCATGTGTGAAGAGATTGTGACCTTATCTAATAACACGCATAAAACACGCATCATCAAGATCATGAATACAACAGATGAAGAAGTATATGAACCGGAGTGAGAGATAGAAAAAGAAAAGAAACAAACCTTTACTGAATAATTCAGCTCTTGTGGTTTTAGTTTTGGGGTCCAACAATCCAAATCCACATTGCTCGGTGAACAGCTTATTGGACATCTCGGTCTTTGCATGTTGTGGCATTAACCCTTTTGATGGTAAGGGCTTTGAGCTTGGCCATAGAAACTTTTCCTCACTTCTTGGATGGATAAGTGCAAATCTGTTCCATACAAAATCCATTTGGTGCTTCCCATCTGCATACACAGAATGACAAAAGCATCTTATTAAGATGTAAAGATTATTTCTCATTAAATAAGCAAATGACGTACAAATGTTTATATATACATGATCAAGCTAAAGGAAACTTAACCAAGCAATGCTATACACTAAACCAGCGTCACCAAACATTGAACTAGCTGAATTAACCCATTCTACTCTAATACATCTCCAAATTCTTCATCAATGTGGTTGTTGTAAACCACAAACTAACCAGAAACTATATTTATCTAGAAAAGGGAAATTTACTATTGGTATAACTAAATTATAGCAAAATTCAGATTTCATATAAGGATTGAGAGATTAGTGATTGGTGTATATACCATAAGTCCTCCCGGGATTTGGCTTGCGACGTCTTGCATTGTGATCAGAGAGACGCCTGCGACAGCTACGTTTCTTCTCATCAAACTCAGAGAGACAGTGGAACCTTTGGAGAACCAAAAACCATAAAACTTATTACATGATGTCTTTAAGGCTTTTGCTAACTGATTAAAACCACTTCTTTCTTGATCAAAAGATTAGCTTTTTTACCTGCTACACTGTTGGCAGAACCGACGTTCAACGCCACTCACAACAACTTTAGGGAACTTTGAATGGTTTTCACAAATCCTGTGTTTCCGATGATAGTCTTTAGCTGACGAGAGATCAAGATTACAGCCTTCAACTTGGCAGTGAGGAGTTTGTAGCCTCTGAGAAACAGATTTTGATTTCTTCACCGGAGATGCAGATGATGACGCGAGGCTCACTGGAAGTGCAGAAACTTTCGCATTCTCCACATCCAAAAAGTCTTCAAAGTATGTTCTTTTACCAAGCTTTAAGCCAAGAACCGGATCACCAGAGCCAAATGAAAGTTCAAGACTTGGAGAAGTATTCATTCCCTTTACAAACTCCTCACTTTCACCAGCTTCTGATGTAAAATTGTATGTTCTCACTTCAGCTGATGAGGAGCTAATGGAAGTTGACTTTGAGCTTTTAGAGAAAGCATGAGCTAGATCAGAACCTGAACTACCACCATAAGCTACTGCAGCAAAGCTTGAAGAATATAGAGAGGTGCAATCAAACCCATCAATCTCCCAATCCATTGGTCGTAGCTTTCTAGGAATTTCAGCTGATGAAGTACCAAAAGATATCAAATTTTCCCATTCCCATTGCAACGGTGGCTTTGCATTACACTCCATTCAGAAAGACTACCAAAAATCTGAAAGAATCACATATTTCCATAAGAGACTATAACTAGCAAATGAAAAATCAACCTATGACAGAGAAAAGACCAAAACTTTCAAAATGGATTCTTGTTAGAGAGCTACTTATGTATGAAAGAGCATAAATAGATGCTAATGAAAACTAGAACATAACACTTGGTTTCTTTCTTTAACTCTGTTAGAAACCAGACCATGATGACTCAAGCCCAACCTAAACCAGAGCGAGAAGAAAAAACAGATGCGACCAAGAATAATTTCAAGAACAAGACGCTTTATTGTGATAAGTCGTCGAAGCAAAACGTTTTGGCATGAACAGACAAAGAAGGTTAAAGATTGAGATGAAAATCCTCTGGTTATTCTGGTTCTGGTTTGTACTTAGGTTCTCATATTTGCTCAAAACTCTATACAATCCTTTTTTTTGGAGAAAAAAGGTAGAGATTTGCTTTCTGATTAATAACTATAAGAGAAATACTAAAAACAGATCTCTAAGAAGCTCCCTCTCTTCCATTATCTATTTACAGAACCATAGTTTCCTACAAGCAAGTCAACTTGCAAAGTCAAGAGCAATAAAACTCACACAATAACTTCAACCCTGTAAAAGGACAAAATCAACAAATCATACAAACAGCAACATACCTAAATAAAAACTTATGGATCTCTGTAAGGTGAAACCAGAGGAAGACGTTTTTTTTTTTTTTTTAATGGAGTACGAGTTTCCATCACATTTTTCATCTACATTTATAACAAAACCAACAAAAGATACCCTCGTTTTTTTCATCACAAAAACTTTTTGCTCACCAATAATTCACATTCATTGAGTTTGTGGGGGCAAAATCTTTCAAGATGTAGGACCCCTCCTTGACAAATTTCATTATCAGAAGCTGTTTACAGATGCAGATTAACTACTCTAGCTGTCAAAATCATCCCTTTAATATTACATTCCGTAACATTTCGTCTACAATCTACTAAGGTTTCTAGATTCCTCAACACATCTTAAATATATACTAGAATCAGTAATTCACCAAACTCATTTAAGACATTATGAACTAACATAGCATCAAGAACCCAAAAAAAAAAGATTTTTATTTTGTTTTGTATTATATAACCTCTTATACATTTTTATGTGGAAACGAGATCTATAGGACTAACAATTCTTTTAACCTTATAGAGAAAGTGGGGGTTTCTGAAAGGGAAAAAAGGCTATAGTTAGGGTTTTAGATTCATCAATTAGATGCAAAAATAATGGTCACTTTTTTGTTTTTACTCACCATCTCTCTCTGATTATGGTGCTATTTCGTAAGTAGTAAAAAGAAAAAATGGAAATAGAGAAAAATTAAGAGAGGGAGATAGAATAAAGTTGCAAAAATCTCAGCCGCAAATGGATGTCTCACCATTTATGGTAAAAAAGTTCTCCTCAACATCATTCTTATTCACAATTTTCTTCTTCTCTTTTTTTTCATCTTGCTTAAGCTAAGTAAATAACAAAAAAATTTCTACTTTAAGCTTATAAAATTTATACAAGAACCCAAAAAAAACCCTTGTGAAAAATTAATCTAATAAAAGATGGGTACCTGCCGATTAGAGAATAAGGGAAGGATCTCGTCGTCAATAGAGTAAAGCTTCCATTTTCGGCTTGACACAATACTGAGCATAGAGAGAAGAACAAGAGAGAGAGTGGAGAACAGAAGAGAGAGAGAGAGAGAGCATGTGGTGTGTGCAAGCGAAGTACCAAGTTGGGAGATGGGGAGGGGTCAAACTGCTTTCACCAGCTTCAACTTTTTTGGACGATTCATTCATTATACGAGGAAAAGCAATATTTTATTATTATATAAAACTTTATGATAAAAAAGAAGCAATTTGATATGGAGAAGTTAAACTTGTGGATTTTTGGTAGATCAAAAGAGCGTCGAAATCAAGACAGCCCATGCTTAATCCTTGGTTAATTGATTTTTTTATACTACACACCCTTTTAAGAGTAAGTTCTTGGGTTCTTTAACCAAACAAAAAAGGGTTAGAGTAAGTTCTTGGGTTAGTAGAATACTAAACAAATTTATATAAAGTTTATTTTAAAACATTTATTTATCAAAGAAATGAAAAGTTGGTTGGAGTTATCATTGTGCTGGAAGACAAACCGTTCATCAGGTATGGCCAATTATATTATAGAACCACTTGCGATTTTTTATTTACAACGATCTCCAGAAGATAGTATCTTTTAATTAAATCGATTTATGCATTAGGCAGTTCTATTGAGGATTGGTATTTTAATTTATATAAGAAACCAGCTTGCTCATTTGTGTTGTTTTTTTGTGTTTGCTTTTTGAAATTGTTGAGGGTTGACCGTTAAAAAGTTAGATAAACCTGAAATATGAAGAAGACAATCAAGTTACTCAGAATATTGGTTTGGTGTACCTTAAAAACATTACTCCCTTTGTTCAGAATTATTTGATGTTTAAGATTTTTGCACACAGTTTAAGGATTCATTTAATTTTTATTTTTCCTATACTAAAAATATTATTTATAATTCATTTAAATATCATTCAGCCAATAAGAAAACAATCTGCAGAATATAAAAGGTCAAAAACTATAAAAATTCATTAAATTTTGCATTAAAAAGTGAGAACATCAAATAATTCTGAACAAAAAAAACTTTCTAAAACATCAAATAATTCTGAACAAAGGGAGTACTATGCTTAAGCTAAAAAAAAAGCATAACAGATGTTAAACAAGAAAACAGTCGTATATAACCTAGGTAAAATGTGGTTATTTTATGTATTTAGTGTTTTGGTTCTCTTTATGAGTTTACTAGTTACTACTGAAATAGAGTATTCTCAATATTTAAAATATCTTTGAAAATGTTTAAAAATGGCGTTTTGGATGATATTTATAAGATTTCATATTAACTGTATTTAGATACCAATTGTTCTAACTTTTTGTTGATATGTGAATATCGACAAGGGACAGAATAGTACTTTTAGATCGGAAGCTCGGTTTTTATTAGATCAAATCAGATAAATACAACTGAGTTCGGTTATTCAGGTAAGTAATAACGAACTAAGACTTAACGAAACTAAGAATCTAGCAGAACGAGTTCTCAGTCTCTAAGTCCTCTTTGGAATATCTTGTGTGTTCTTCGGTGTCGATTCGTCTCCCTTTATATATATCCTTTGAGTCGGTCTTCAAATACATCTTCGACGATATGGGACCGAGAGGACTTTCCTTTTCTCTCGGTTCCTTTCCTTTTCTCTCTGAAGTTTCCTTTTTCCGTTAGGAAACTTTTCTAATTTCGACCGAGCTCAGGGAAACCTTCGATTTCTTCGAGAGATTTCTCACCGATCTCGGCCTATTGGGCTGTGTTCGGCCCGATGTTTCACTCGGCCCATCTTTCTTGGTACATCCCTTCGTAAACCGGGCTTATGTTATGCCGATCTCGGTTTGTACCGGAGAAAACTGGGGTGCGGTTTTCACCTCCAACAGTTAGCCCCCCCCCCTCAGTTCGGTGAAAGGAGGTGACTTTCAGTCGAACTTGTTTCTTCGATTATCGGATCGCAAACCGAGCTCGTAACTGCTGTCGATTCACATTCCCGGACGTTTCGCGCCTGTCTTCAATGAGGCGCGTGAATTACGGGATTTTTGCGAAAATCGAGGAACCCACGATTTCCACTGTTTATAAAGGGGAAAACTCCTCTTCACATTCATTACTCTCGCTCAAGCATATATAAGGTACGCTGCTCTCCCTTCTCTCTAGCTTTTTGTTTCTCTCTCTAGTTTGTATTCGTAGTTCTCTCTCGTTTCTTCATCTTTCGCCGCCGCAAACCTTCGATTTTTTCGATCAATCTTCAAACTTCCCGTTCGATCTTCAAACTTTCCGATCAATCTTCAATCTTTTCCGGTTGATCTTCAAGCTGTTATTCATTTTTCTTAGATCTCCTTCGGATCTACTCTTCCGAGCTCAAAATGTCTTCTAGTTCCTCTATTAACTCTTCTTCCAATCAAATCCTTCCGGAAGATCGCCGCGAAGCCTCAGAGCCGAGCTCCTCCTCTTCGAATCCTCATCAATCGAGTTCGTCTGAGGAAGAGAGCAATCTTCCACAGTTAGTTCGTAAGAACTCCAAGTCGATGGAAGCGAGTAGCAGCCGTGCTAGAATTAGGGTTGAAACTACCGAGCGGTTGGCGACAGAAACTCGCGAGACAGAAACTCATGCTGGACCGAACACTGAGATATCGACCACGAGGTCGAAGAGGTCGAGGAACCTGAAGGAGAGAATGAGGAAGAGAACGTTACTGAGGCAGAGGTTGCCGAGGACAACCTCGATGCGGTGAACCACGCTTCACCACCGCTTCCAAGACGAAGGATCGTTCGTCCCAACAACGTACCATCTTCCTCGGTTACTTCGGGTGCTATTCAGGCCATGCTCGAAGAAAATGGGCTCTCGGACCAGGTTTCTTTCATAATTCCCAAAGCTGGAGATCGGCCGTGGGACGTGCCCGAAGGCTTCCTCTGCGTCTACTTGACTTATTTCACGCAGTGCGGGCTCTCGCTTCCTATTCCCTCTCGTCTCCTAGGGTACTGCAACCGGCGCGGTGTAGCTCTTACACAGGTGATGCCAGCCTCGGTAACGAACTACGTAGGGTTCGTTACCTTATGCGAGGAGCTTGGTGACATCCCCTTCAGTCGACTGTTTGAGGACCTCTTCTCGGTGAACATCCACAAATCCAAGGAGTGGTTCTTCGCCGCAAACGCTAAGCCGAAGAAGAACATAGTTACTGGGCCTAAACCCAGTAAATTCAACGACTGGGAGTCCTTGTATTTTTATCTCGAAATGAACGATCTCACCGTCAGCAATTCTGACATACCAACTCAATCGGAGTGGAAGATTCCGATTGGTAGATTAGATGATCTCATACTCAGTTAGTTCCGACTTTGTTGCTCGTTAACTTTACTTCGTTTCATCTTTGCAGGTCGTCATCTTCCAAGTCTTATTCTCAATTCCGGGCTTACTTCTGAGTTCGAAGCAGCCTTCAGCGAAGCCGGTAAGCATCGTTGGCCTGAGGTGTGGGAAGAGATTCTCCAACGCCGATCTAAGAAAGCAGGTTTGATCATCGAGCTTACTTTCATGTTCTTATCTTAATTTTACTCCAAACTCGTCCTTGACATATTTTCATTGCAGCTTCTGTCCGGGAACCGAAACCGCAGAAGCCAAAAGCTCGAGCTAACAAGCCCCGAGCAGCTCCAAGACGAAAAGCACCTAAGTCGCGAGCCCAACAAACCCGAGCTGCAAGGATGCTCTCATTGGATGAGATCCCAACTCTCTTTGGCGAAGAGGAAACGAACGTGGCTGACCCGACCCCAATCCCTGCTACCGGAGGGATCAATGAGCAGCCGGAGGAGTTGCTACCTGCTGCGAACTCTCCTGACCAAGCCGGTCAGAAGAAGCTGAAGAAAAAGAAATCTTCAAAAAAGATTAAGAAGATTGAAGACTCTTCTCGAGCACAGGACGTAGCTATCGAGCTCGAGCCTCCTACAATCGCGACGTTGGACCTCAAAATTCCTCGCGACCAGGCTGAAGCTTCTCACTCTCGGAAGAGGCAGATGAGAGACCAAGCCGAAGGCTCTCCAGGACCGGAGCCAGCCAAAAAGGCCAAGGTGTGCTTTGTACGACGAAGAGGGTCCTTTTGAGGAGAACGTCGACGCTTGCGCCGATCTTTATCACAAGATCTCCTCTGATGTGCCGAGTCTTCCGGCTATCTCCGAGCTCCGGTTCCCCAACTTGTACAAGGGGATTGCTCGCACAACTGCCGTGGTACTTCCTCTATTCCTTTTCTCTATGTTGATATTTTTCGTAAGTATGAGTTCTAACCCATGTTTTATTTTTGGTAGCTCGCCAGCCAGACCAACACTCTGGTTGCCGCGTACGAGGTAGCTCTCTATGACGAGCAAGTTAGGGTTGCTGAGCTCGAGGAGAGGGTCTCCAAAGCTGAAGAGCGCCTTGCCACCGAACTCCAAATCAACGACACTCTCCATTCTTTAGTTGATTTACTGAAGCAAGAGAGTGCTGAGCTGAAAGCGGTGAGAAAGGAGCTCACCGAGGCCTAGAACATGCTTGTTCAAGAGTTCGAGAAGGATCGAGAACGGCTTAGGGATTTGGTATCGCACTGGAAGAATCGAGCTAAGAGCGTTCACGCGAAGGCCTGCGAGCGCTTAGAGAAAGTCATCCGGAGCTTAGACGATGCTGATCGAGCTCGTAAGCCATACCTGGTGGTCAACCAGCTCACCGGAGTTCTCGGCTTCATCAAGCAGCTCAAGAAGAAAGGCCTGTACGAGGTCCCGCCTGAGATGGTGGCTGACATCGAGGCAAAACATGCTAAAGCTTTGGAGGACTTCCGCTCGGTCGATGCTTGCGTCCTTACTGAAGAGGATAAGCGGATGTCTCCATTCGTGGAAGAGGATGACATTCCGGCCGCGAACGTGACCCAGAGCGCGCAGGATCCTGCGAGGGGCGAGCAGTTCGGTTCCAAAGAGGACATCCTTAACGCTGATCGGGCTGCTACTTCGAAGACTGCTTAGTCTTTCTCTTTTTCTTTTTAATCGAACTTAACTGCCCTTTAATGGGTTACTTTGTAATATTTATGTTTCTCTGAACCCTCGGTGGGTTCCTTTTGAACTTATTTGCCTCTCGGGAGGCTTTTAATTATATGCTCGTTCGTCTTCTTTCTTGTCTTGATAACTTAGAAAATCCTTTAAGTAGTAGATCGGTATCTAACTTAACTTTCGACCCTCTTACGTCGGTAATGATTTGTGATTAATGCTGAAGTACTAGATCGGTACACAGCAGATGATATTCGAACATAACTTTTATTTTTTCGATAGCGAATTGCGATAATTCGGCTTACGTTTTGCGAGTGTTGTGAACTCGGCTTATGGTGCGAATCTGAGGAGTTCGGCTTATTGTGCGAGCGTTTAAGCTCGGCCTGGGGAACCCAAGTGAATCGTTTCGTACTGGAAGAGTGAATTAATTCGAACTCCTGTAAACGCACGAAACGAGTTCAAGGTTTTCTAAGTCGAACCTAAGTATGCGAGATGTGCTCGGCTTATTGTTCTTGGTGACTTAGAAATTTAACTGCGGGACTGGGTCCGGCTTTTAACATGTGGTTTTACCACGGCACCATGTGGATGCTCGCGAGACAGATCTCGGCTTTTAAGTTTGCATTCATGTGGAATGCTATCGAACAAGTGGCCAGGAAGTCGAAGTAAGAACAAGGAGTTCGGTACCTTGTGATTTCTGAACTAGATCTTAGACAGATTTGACATAATAAAATTTTATTGATGTTATAGCTGGACTCGGTAATGAGCTGCCTACGTACCCTTTAAAGGGATCAAGCCATTCGTAGTTCTAAGTACAAAAGTGTTTTTTGCTCCGACTAAGTAGTTCGGAGGCTTTTTTTTTTTTTTTTTTTTAGGAAAAAGCAACGAACTAGTAGTAGTAGCGTTTGAGATGCATTGAGTTCCAAGATCGCGGGATCGGAGTTCCGTCTAACTTCATAAGTTGATAAACGCCGGGCTTAACCACCTTCATCACTTGGTACGGTCCTTCCCAGTTCGCACCAAGTTTTCCTGCGTTTTTTTCTTTTGTATTTTGATAGACTTTGCGCAGTACGAGATCGCCATCTTCAAAGTGACGGCCTTTAACCTTTTTGTTGTAGTAGCGAGCTGCAAGTTGCTGGTAGTTCTGTATTCGGAGCAATGCTCGTTCGCGGTGTTCTTCGACCAAGTCGAGTGCGTCAATCATCATGTTGTTATTCGCGTCGGGTTGCTGGGTAAGCATAGTTCGGCGAATACTTGGGACGTTGAGTTCGGCTGGACACATAGCTTCTGTGCCATATGCAAGGAAGAATGGTGACTGACCGGTCGAACGTCGTGGTGTAGTTCGGTGAGACCACAACACGCCATCAAGCTCGTCCGCCCAAGTTCCCTTATCGGTATCGAGTTGTTTCTTCAGTCTATCAATAATGGTCTTGTTTGTGGCTTCGGCTTGTCCGTTTCCTTGCGGGTATCGCGGGGTAGAGAAACTTAGTCGAATCTTCCATATGGCACAAAAATCTGTGAAAATGATCGAAGTGAACTGGGTTCCATTGTCCGTAACGATCTCGTACGGGACTCCGTGTCGGCAGATGATGAACTTCCAGACAAACTTCTTGACATCGATTCCATGAATCTCGGGGTATGCTTCGGCTTCAACCCATTTGGTGAAGTAGTCCGTGACGACCAAAACATATTGCTTCTGAGTTGTAGATCGGCGAAAGGGACCGATAATATCCATTGCCCAGCGCATGAAAGGATATGGTGCGGTCGAGGTCATCAGGAGCTCGGTAGGAAGATTGATCATTGGACCATGACGTTGGCACTTCTCGCAGCGTGCCGTATACTTCTCGCAATCAGAGAGCATAGTAGGCCAGTAATAGCCAGCTTTTTTGATCTTAAATGCCAAAGACCGAGCTCCGGAGTGATTTCCTCCTTCCCCTTCATGGACCTTCTGCATTACTTCCGTGATGTCGTTTCCGTGAACGCAAGTCAAGAGTACACCGGATGCATCCCATCTGAGGAGAGTACCTTTAATGACCACATATCGAGCACCGCGAGCCTTAAGGCGCCGAGCTGCCCATTTATCTGCGGGAACTGTTCCGTCTCTGATGTATCCCACGATCTCCAAGGTCCAATCTTTGGGTTCGTCGTCTCCTTCGGCTTCGATATCGATTGGAACATGTTGGCCTTCGGATTCGTCCTCAGGATCGGATTCGTTTTCATTGAGTTCGTCCGTGTCGTTATTGAGATCGGGAGTGACCTCTTTGGGTTTCGTCTTCTGGGTGAGGGGTGGAGCGAGATTGGGTTGGGCTTCGTAATCACGCCGTCTTGTAATGATACTGCAGTTCTGAGTGGGCTCGATACTTGGTTGCTCGATTGCTGCAACTGGGATAGTTCGCTGAAGATCGGGATCAGAATTAGTCGCGAGAGCGGCTAAGGCGTCGGCGGTTGCGTTCTCATCTCGAGGTATCTTTGTAAGTTCGAAGGTAAGGAACTCCGAAGCAACATCCTTGAGGACTTTGAGATATGCGTCCATGCGGTCGTTCTTGGCCTCGTACTCGCCGTAAAACTGGTTAGCCACGAGTTGAGAATCGCAGTAGGCGTGCACATGCTCGGCGCCGATACCTTTGACAAGTCGTAGTCTGGCAATCAATGCTTCGTACTCGGCTTCGTTGTTAGACGCCGGGAAGCCGAGTCGAAATGACTGCTCGATAACTTCTCCTTCGGGTGATTTGAGACGAATTCCGACTCCAGATCCTTTATGAGACGAGGAACCATCCGCGTGAAGGATCCAGGGTTGTACGACCGGATTAGCTTCGACGAGCTCCGGTGGGAGTTCAACCAAGAAATCTGCCAGGACTTGGGATTTCGTTGCAGTTCTTCCTCGGTATTCGATGTCGTATTCGCTAAGTTCGATGGCCCACTTGGCGAGTCGTCCGGATTGACTTGGGCTATGAAGGAAAGTACGAAGAGGATGATCGGTCAGGACCACGATCGCGTGGGATTGGAAGTACAGGCGTAATTTCCTTGCAGAAATAACCACGGCAAAGGCGAATTTCTCCAAAGTCGGATAACGATACTCCGATCCATCGAGGGATTTGCTTGTGTAGAAAATTGGCTTCTGCTCGCCACGATCTTCTCGAACAAGTACACTACTGACTGCGAACTCCGAAATTGCGATATAAAGATAGAGTGTCTCTCCGGTTTCAGGTTTGGATAAAACTGACGGAGTGGACAAGTATTTCTTTAGCTCGGCGAAGGCTTCTTCGCACTTCTCATTCCATTCAAGATGTTTGTTACTGCGAAGAAGTTGGTAGAAAGGTAAGCACTTGTCCGTCGATCTGGATATAAATCGATTAAGTGCTGCGATACGTCCGGTGAGTCGCTGGACTTCGCGTTTGGTTGTCGGCGATGGGAGCTCGAGAATAGCTGCGATCTGCTTTGGATTAGCTTCAAAGCCTCGTTGCGTAACAATGTATCTGAGGAACTCTCCAGATGTCACGCCGAACGTGCACTTGGTGGGATTAAGCTTCATACCATATTGGTCCAGAATATCGAAGCATGTGCGAAGATGGCCGACGTGTTCGGAAGCAATGAACGACTTTACGAGCATATCGTCGATGTAAACTTCCATAGTCCGCCCAAGCTGGCTTGCGAACATCCGGTTTACCAGTCGTTGGTACGTTGCTCCAGCATTCTTCAGGCCGAAGGGCATGACCTTATAGCAGTAGATGCTGCGGTCTGTGATGAACAATGTCTTCTCCCGATCTTGCGTATGCATAAGGATCTGATTGTACCCGGAGAATGCGTCCATAAACGAGAGTAGTTCGTTCCCGTCAGTCGCTTCCACTAGGCGGTCGATGTGAGGCAAGGGAAAACTATCTTTCGGACACGCCTTATTGAGGTTGGTAAAATCGACGCAGATCCTCCATTTACCATTCTTCTTCTTTACGACCACGGGGTTTGCTAACCAATCTGGGTACTTGACTTCGGTGATGGATCCGGCTTTGAGTAACCGCTCGACCTCATCATTCACGGGTTGTGCTTTCTCTGGTCCGAGCTTTCGGCGTTTCTGCTTGATTGGCTTATACGTCGGATCAATGTTGAGCTCGTGACACGCGATCTGTGGATCGATCCTGGGCATATCTTCTACTGACCAAGCGAAGGTTGATGAATGCTGTTTCCGAAAGTGAATGAGTGGCTCGCGGATCACTGGATCGAGCTTGGCGCCGATTCCGACTTGACGCTCTGGCCTTAGTTCGTCGACACAAACTTGAACGATCGATTCCTGCTTAGGTTTTGTCTGCTGGATGACGAGCTTGTCCGTTGGTCCTAGCGAACTAATGACACAAGCTTGGTTGGCCGAATGAAGTCTGCACTCGTTTATGTAGCACGATCGAGCAACGGCTTGGTTTCCTCGGAGAGTGTAAACACCGTCGGGAGTCGGGAACTTTAGGCACTGATGGTACGTCGAGGCGACCGCTTTCATCGCGTGTAGCCAAGGTGTACCGAGAATAGCGTTGTAGATCGCTGGTTTGTCGAGGATAAGGAACTGGATAATCTTTGCGACTCCGCCGAGGTAGATCGGAATATTGACCATGCCGACCGTCATACAACGTTCTCCATCGAAACCGGTAAGTGGCTCGATAAACGGCTCAATCCTATCTGATGCCAACTCGAGCTGGTCGAGTGCTTCCTTGAAGATAATGTTAACCGAACTACCCGTATCGACCAAAATACGGCTAACTTCAACATCGTCGAGAAGTAGTTCGACGACGAAGGCATCGTTATGCGGTTTATGCAGCCCGATTGTATCGGCCTCGGTAAACACCAAGGGTGTTCCCTTCGGCGGATCTTGCGGGGCTTTGGGTGCGCTGGCGGCCTGTCTGCTGTACTCTTTGATTGCTCGAACCGAATAACTGCAAGCTTCAATTGCCCCCATTATCATGTTGACACGTTTCCGCGCCTTAGGAGCGTGATTCTCTGGTGCTCAGTCATCACGATTCCGTTGCTGTTGCTCGGGCAAAACAGGCGGATTTTGTGGTGGCAGTGGTAACGTCGGTAAAGCCGGTGGAGTTGGTGGATCTTTGGCGAGTGCTTTCTCAAGCTGTTCATTGTTTGGTCAAGGCATATGTGAACGACGGAGATCGTCAATCGAAAGTTGCCCGCCGCTCTTAGACGCATTCGAACGTCGGAGATCGTCGACCGAGATGGGTTCCTTTCGATATAGGCCGAGTAGGTATTCGCGCAGATGTCTGCATTCTTCGGTGCTGTGGCCCCTACGGTTATGGAACTCGCAGAACAATGATTTGTCTTGATCCTCTTCACCGCGGACCCACTTATTGTTCTATTGTTTGTTCGGTTGTTGGATTGCATTAGCATAGAACTTCTTGCGATTCTCATACCCTCGGCCGTATCCCGATTGCGGCTCATTGGTTGCGGTTTTCGGACGTTCGGGTTGCTTCGTTGAATAACTCTGCTCGTAAGCGGCTTCTTTTTCCTCTTCGGCGATGTAGGTATTAGCTCGGTGCAACGCGTCTTCTAATGTCTGTGGAGGGTTATGAGTGATCGCGCTCCGGAAGCTAGTCTTTATCCGAGCTCCTTTCTGAAGACATAGGAGAGCGGCTTCATCGCTAATCGTACAATTAGCGACGATCGTCTTGAAGCGCTGGATGAAATCACGAAGGCTCTCGCTTGGTCCTTGGGCTATTTGCCAGAGCTCGGAGTTCTTGGTGTTCTGTCCAATGAACATGGAAAAGTGTTTGACGAAAGCCGTCGTTAACTCCTTGTAGTTATCGATTGAATTGGCTTCGAGTCGCGAGAACCAGTCGAGAGCTACTCCTCCCAAGCTTTCCACAAATAGTTGACACTGAACTGCGTCTCTCTCTTCGGCTGATTTGAACTGGTATCAGTTCATGCAGATGCCGAACAATGTCAAGAAGTGTCGGGGGTCAGAATTGCCCTCGTAGACTTTTATCTTCAGTTTCTCCATGTGTTTGACCGGCGTCCCTGCTATGCGCGGTGTGAACGGTGTTTTCTGCGTTTCCTGATTGACGCGCTCGATTTCCGGAGCCGCGCTTATTGCTTGATGTATCTTTGAAGTGATAACGCGAAGCTGCGCCTTCATTGCTTCGAACTCGGCATCTCGGCTTAAATCCGATGCTGGTGCATTCGCTGATCCGACTGCAGTAGACCTCATAGTTCCGGCTGGATCTCCGTCGGTATTAAGATCGTCAATGATGTCCGAACTCGAAGGGGAGTTCGTGCTTGACTGAGCCCGGCGATTTGTGCCGCCATCTGACTGAAGCGCTCCTCGCTTCTTTTATTGATGGCCTCAAACTGGGCATTGAACACTTGGAGCAGTAGTTCAGTTCCATAACCTCCTACGGCTGCGGGGGTTTGGCCGGCTACAGTTCCAGCGTTTTCTCCAGGAGTTCCTCCTCCTTGTTCTGTTGGGGCGTCAGCGTTCTCTCCACCGAGAGGGTTTCTTTCTTCGTGAATGTTGGCTTGGTCTGCCATCGCTGATTCAATCTTTCCGAAGTCCGATCTAAAACTTGAGAAATCTGTTTAAGTCCCCCTACCTGGCGCGCCAATTGTTGATATGTGAATATCGACAAGGGACAGAACAGTACTTTTAGATCAGAAGCTCGGTTTTTATTAGATCAAATCAGATAAATACAACTGAGTTCGGTTATTCAGGTAAGTAATAACGAACTAAGACTTAACGAAACTAAGAATCTAGCAGAACGGGTTCTCAGTCTCTAAGTCCTCTTTGGAATATCTTGTGTGTTCTTCGGTGTCGATTCGTCTCCCTTTATATATATCCTTTGAGTCGGTCTTCAAATACATCTTCGACGATATGGGACCGAGAAGACTTTCCATTTCTCTCGGTTCCTTTCCTTTTCTCTCTGAAGTTTCCTTTTTCCGTTAGGAAATTTTCCTATTTCGACCGAGCTCAGGGAAACTTTCGATTTCTTCGAGAGATTTCTCACCGATCTCGGCCTATTGGGCTGTGTTCGGCCCGATGTTTCACTCGGCCCATCTTTCTTGGTACATCCCTTCGTAAACCGGGTTTATGTTATGCCGATCTCGGTTTGTACTGGAGAAAACTGGGGTGCGGTTTTCACCTCCAACACTTTTAAGCATAAAATGGATATGAATAATGGCTTTGATTGATAGTCGAATTTGAGATAGTTTAATTTGAGATAGTTTGAGGTTTAAACGCTCTTTTAGTTACCAATCACCATCAGATAGGCAAATGAAACAGAAAGTTAAAATAGATAATTTAAAATTAAAGTATTATGAGTTGATATCAAATAATATTATCAAAATTAACTCATCTGATCTGATATTATTCAGACGCAACTGTTTCGGGAGAATTTTCCATTTAACCTCTATATTTACAATCTATGCATCAACTTTCTCTCTCATGGTGTGGAGCCAAAAAGAAGTCTCATGGTGTGGAGCCAAAAAGAAGCTGCTATATTTCTCTTTCTCATATATTTTCAAAATTATCTGATAAAAAAAACGACAGATTATAGAAAGAGGAAGAAACACTTTCTTAAGTGAAACTATTTTCTTTTGGGTAAATCGCCTATTCGCAATCCTCCTTCTAAATCTCCTCAGAGATATCCTTGTTTGTTTGGGTAGTGTTAATTATGTCTTCGGCCAGCGTTTTCAACTTCTGGCGGTTTCAATTTAGTCGTCTTCTTCCAATATTGTAAACTAGGTAACTCGCAAACTTTCTCTCTCCTCTTTCCGGAGTGTTCACTGATAATCGATCTTCCTCTTTCCTATTTTACATGTTTAATTGAGTATTTTTGACCATGGTTGCAGGATTAATGGTGGATCTGGAGTTACCTCAGAGAATCCTCAGCGAGAGGGTGAATATCTACCAGAAGTTGAAGAATTTCTCAGAAATTGAACATGCCATCATAATCAAAAGACCATGTCGGTGGTTATTACTTTAGCCATCATAATCTGTTTCTTTGGTGGGTTGGCGACAGTGGTTAGTTCTCTATCTAATCCAACTGTTCTGAGATAATTTTCCACTTAACCTTTATGTTTACAATCCATGCATCAACTTTCTCTCTCATGGCGTGCAACCAAAAAGAAGCTGATATATATCTTTTTCTCATATATTTTCAAAATTATCCAATAAAAAAAATGGCAGATTATAGAAAGAAGAAGAGGCACTTTCTTGAGTGAAACCATTTTCTTTTGGGTAAATCGCCTATTCGCAATCCTCCTTCTAAATCTCCAAAGAGATATCCTTTTTTGTTTGGGTAGTGATAATTATGTCTTATGCCGGCGTTTTCAACTTCTGGCGGTTTCAATTTAGTCGTGTTCTTCCAATATTGTAAACTAGGTAACTCGCAAACTTTCTCTCTCCTCTTTCCGGAGTGTTCACTGATAATCGATCTTCCTCTTTCCTATTTTACATGTTTAATTAAGTATTTTTGACCATGGTTGCAGGATTAATGGTGGATCTGGAGTTACCTCAGAGAATCCTCAGCGAAAGGGTGAATATCTACTAGAAGTTGACGGTTTTCTCAGAAATTAAACATTGATGTGTGTCGTGTGTTCGTGAGGGTGTGTCAAGTTTTACCCTAAATGAAATCAATAGCCGCAAGTGCACAGCTGATCGATTGTAGTACTTAGGGATCGAATCCACAGGGAAGGAGGATCTTTCCTGCAAAAGCCTTCGAAAGAAATATAAAGTAAGGAAGTCTAGAACCAAACGGTTTTTGTGGGGGGTTTTGGTGGTGTGTTTAAAATGTAAAAACGAATCTTAAAGGGAAGATACGGGAATTAAAATGACATAATAACTAAACTTAACGAAAACTGGTAAAAACGAGAAAAACGGCTAACCTAATTGCTTAAATGAAAATCGATTAAAAAGGAATGAAAATATTGAACTAAAGTTTGAAATAAAACAGTGTGAATCTATAAGAAAGAAAGTGCTGGGCTTCAGGGAAGTTTTCTCAGGGGTACGAACGATTCAAAACATTGCTAGAGAGTAAATTTGATAAGATCTTAGCTTAAACTTTTCGAACTGGAGTCACAGACGTATGAATACGCCACTGTCGTGATCATAGACAACTATCTCTCTCAATCCTGACCAGTAGGTTTCCACTCTGGCCCTAGAAAAGAAGAGATGCATTATGTTTAAGACTCGTCAGCATTCACAAATCGCACATAGGTAGGTTTCCACTCCTATGTTTGTTTTGCTCTCCCAAACTAGATCTGATACCGGATGAACACTTTCGTGTCACCAAACATCTGGATCAGATTGTAGTTCATGACGCTACTCTCATGCAGTAAAAACGAATTCAGAAGAAAAAGTTCTAAGATTCGGCTCAAAAGCTCATGGAATCATCATCGAACGTATAAATCCCCATCAAAAATCCTTTAATCCCAACAATAAAACTACTCAGACATGATGAACGAAATCAAAAACATAGTATTAAAAAGTAGAATAGAAACCGAAATTGAAAAAGAAAGAACAAGGATTCAAGAAACATATCTCTCTCTCCCTAAAACCTAAAAACAAAGTTAAAGTAAAATTTCTGTAAAGTATTTCGTCTCTCTTCTTTTTTTTCTAAAAACGACCTAAATGACATGTATTTATAGTCTCCAATACTCTCTGGTGTCAAGGTTTCTGGAATTAAGGCTGGGAAAGTGATACGGGCTTCAGAAATGGGCCTTCAAAGTCGGAGTTGGCTGGCCGCGGTCGGGAAGTGTGTGACCGCGGGAAATGGGTGACTGGCCGCGGTCGCGGTGCTTCTGACCGCGGGAAATGCTCTGTTGGCCGCGGGTGGAAACGCTTGCCGGCTGGTTTACGGGACATCTTGCTCTTCGCGTATCTTTTGATTGAACCGTTGGATTGCCAAGCTGTAAAGTGTGCTGGAAAGCTGATACTTCCATCTTTAAGGTCACCAA